AGAGTGCCCCGGCCAGCAGGGCGGCGGAGGGCGGTGGCCTGGAGGCCGAACGGGGCGGGCCTTCGCGTGGCGGGGCCGGGGGTGGCAGCAGGCGGTCCAGGCGCGGCAGAGGGACCCGCGGGGAGAAGTCCCGGTGCAGACTCTGCAGGCGCAGCGCCGCCAGGGCGCGCAGCGTGTCGTCGGGCGGGGGCGGCCGGCCACGCAGCAGCAGAGCGTGAGCCTACGGGGGAGGCACCGGGCATCAATCAGCACGGGAGCCGCGGCTGTACTGTCGCGAAAACACCTCGGGGTGTGGAGTTGAGCTCTGGGTTCGAAAAGCCTCCCGCGGGGTTGCCATAATGATTAAATGAGATGGCTCAGAAAAGGAGGGGTTCAGGCTTGGGGGCTCTGTTTGGAGGAGTACATGCTGGAGATCCTCACCTGCTCAAAGAGGAAAGGCAGTTCGTGACCGTCTGGGGACAGCCCCTCGGGGTGCAAAGGTCCGTGAAGACGGAGACACAGTCTCCACCCGGAGTCCGGCGAGTCCTCCAGACCGGCTTCCTCCGCGGCCGACCTGCAAAAAAGATAAGGAAGAGACGCGATGGAGCAGGAGAGCCCCCCGAGCTCCCGCAGCTGGGGAGAGGGGCGGGGCCGCGTGTCGGGGGCGGGGCCTGTATTGGGACTGGAAGGCGGAGGTGAGCCATGAAATCAGATTGCAAACCGCCAGCGAGCAGGCGTCCGTCTGAAAACCAGCGAACGTCACTATACAGCGCAAGTGGCAAGCGTTCAATAAACGTTTGCTTAGTGATTGACCCAACGGGGAAGTAGATGGGCTAATAGAGAGCAGGACTGGGGCTGGACATTTACTTCTCAAACCTGGTGAGCACGTCGGCCACGAGGGTCCCTCCACCCAGGGCTCGCTCCTGGGTCCCTCGCTGCTCGTACAGCGCGAATGTGTTGCGGCTCCGGGCCAAGCCCAGCCGTCCCACCAACTGTCGAGCCACCTAGAGGGGAGGGAGGGTGACGGAAATGTCAGGCCACACTGGGGTCTCGCCAGGACTCTGGGAGGGGCTGATCCAACAGAAGGGGTCTCTTAGTCCTATCACCTCCACTTCCTCCCTTACCGAAATGATGAATCTGAGACAGACTCGGGGCACACCTAGGGCCCAGGAACCGGGAGAGCCAGGCGTGAGGAGCTGGAAGGGCGGGGAGTAGGGGCGCTGGGGTCTTTCTCTGCCTCACCTCCCCCGCTGTGGTGTGAGAGTCGATGGCAACGGGACAGGCACCAGCCCCCGGACAGTGCACGGTGCACAACAGCTCCTGCCGTCGGCTCAGCGCGGAAATCTCAGCCAGTGACGGCACCAACTCTCGGCCGCGGGTCCGACCCAGCGCTTTCCGGATGAAGCGCGCATACTCCGCCAGTTCCGAGTCCGGGAGTGCCCGCTCAGTCCTGGGTTAGGGAGCACCAAGGGTTCAGAGCTCCGAGGGCTTTCCTTCTTCCCCTGCCTCTCGCCTTCTGGTATTATAGTTTATTTCATCTCGTTGATTTCCTCCCCTCCAACTCAAGTTCCTTGAAGGCAGCAACCAGCTGTTCTAAATCTGTCCTCGGTACTCTATATGGAGCTGAATTACTTTCTAAGTACCCTGGCAGCTCTCTCTCAACTGCCCCCATCCACTTCCGAAAGTCTGCGATCTTCCTTCGGAATGCAATCTGAAATCCAGCCTCATGACTACGCTTTCCAACCTAAAAGCCCTGGTGCTGGCCTTCATCAGCCAGAGGAAAAAGGAAAAGTAGGTGTTGTGTGTGTGTGCGTGCGTGCGTGCGCCCTCGTGTGTGTGTGCGTGCGTGTGTGCGTGTGCATGTGTGCGCGTGTGTGTGCGTGCGCGTGCGTGTGTTTTGCAGCTGGCCGGTACAGGGATCCGAACCCTCGACACTGGTGTTATAACACCGTGCTCTAATCAACTGAG